CACCTAGTCACATTATCTTGATACCAGACCGACCAGTTGTAACACTGACCTCTTAATGCTGAGTGTCTAGCGAGGCAGCTGTTTGTACGAGTTTTGTAGGTCTTTTAGTACAACTCGGCCGATGTTGGAACCTTCGACCTCACGCATCCGAGGCGGACGCTGTAACCACTAGGCCACTAAATAACAAAAAACTCGTGTAGTAAATGTATATGCAGTGATATAGTAATTACAAATATTCTCTGTTGTTTTGTTTGATGATACCATCGACTCCAAGGGGTCTCACCTCCGAGACGCTGTGTACAATTCAACCATTACTGCCTATGGGACGAATGAGATCAAAATACCGACTGGCATGAGGCCAACTGGGAGGCGATGTAGTCCGTGACTGAGGCGAAGATGTAAGCCTTCCTGGCTTACAAGGCTGTGCCTAGCCCTAGCACACTTCTATCTCTCAGGATTGCCAGGAACAACATCCATCGGACCACCCGCAACTGCAAAACACATACTGGCTGTACCTCTGCACCAGCATACAGACAGCTGCCGTGCCGACACCGGTGATGCAAGAGATACGTAATAGGTATCAAGAAGGCGACAGGTCCTCGAATCTCCAAGATCGCTCCCTCTCCTCAAGTCAAAGACGGGCGAAGTCATCACATACCAGGGAAAACAGCTGCATTGCTGAGTTGAGCACTATCTTGAGCTGTATGCAACCCAAAACGTCGTCCCCGACACTGCCTTGAACACTATCCCAGATCTGCCAGTCATAGTGGAACTAGACATACCGGCCACCCTGGAAGAGTTCAAAAAAGCCATCGACGGCTTCACTTGTGGAAATGTCCCTGGGACCAACAGCATTCCACCTGAAGTCCTCAAGAGTGGGAAACCAGTACTATTCTATCCCTTGCACAAAATCATCTGCCTCTGCTGGAAACAGGGACATATCCCATAAGACATGCGAGACGCCAACATCGTCACTTTGTACAATAACAAAGGACACAACTACATGGGCGTCTCCCTTTGCAGCATCGTCGGAAAGGCTTTCGCACGTATCGCCCTAGGAAACTTGCAGACCCTAGTCTCGCGCGTGTACCCATAATCCCATTGTGGCTTCAGAGCTGGCCAGTCAACTGTAGACATGATCTTCTCACTACATTATCTGCAGAAGTGTCGTGAGCAGCAGATGCCCCTCTACATTGCCTTCATACACATGACGAAGGTATTTCTCTAGGTCAGCCCGAGCGGATTCTTTAGGCTTCTGGAAAAGATCGGCTGCCTCCACAACTGTTCGATGTCGTCACGTCGTTCCACGAGAACGTGCACAACACAGTGTGCTTCAACGGCGCAACATTTGAAGCCTTCACAGTCAGCAGTGGAGTGAAGCGGGACTGAGTCCTTGCGCCGACGCTCTTTGTCATCTGCTTTTTCATGCCTGTCCGGTACGCCTTCAAGAACATATCAGCGAGGGAGTGAACATCCACACCAGGGATAACGGCAAGCTTTTCAACATCACTAGTCTCCTCCGTGCGAAGACCAAAGTCACTGGTGTTCTCATCCGTGAATGGGTCTTCGCTGACGATGTAGCATTGACATTACACACGGAAGATGGACTGCACCAGATGGTATGTCGCCTCTCCCACGCCTGCAAGGACTTTAGACTGACCATCAGTTTGAAGAAGAGAAACGTCATGACGCAGGATGTGGACTCCCATCCCACCATTGCCATCGATGGATTCAACCTCGATGTTATTGAGAATTACACATATCTTTGGTCTACCATCTCCAGCTCGCTCTCCATTGATGCTGTGGTGAACGGCAGGATTGCCAAAGCATCAGCGGTTATGTCCAGAATGAACCAGAGGGTGTGGAACAAAATCACTGAGAAGACCAAACTGGGTATCTGCTAGGCCTGCGTGCTCAGGAAACTCCTCTTCAGTAGCGAGGCATGGACCACCTACAATATCCACGAAAGGAAACTAAGCAACTTCAATATGGCGTATTTTACGCATCCAGTAGCAGGACAAAGTACACAACGTAGAGGTTCTGTAACGCGCCAGCATGAAAAACGTGTTCCCCATTCGCAGCGAGAGAGGCCTTCGCTGGCTCGGCCACGTCAAGAGAATTGATCCTGGTCACGTTTCCAAGGACCTGGTGTAAATGTGGCTAGCAGAAGACACACGACTGACTGGACGGCCACGTATGCATTGCAAAAATGTCTGCAGGAAAGACATGAGGACGGCCAACATCAACGTCAACGATTGGTAGAGCTGTGCTGACGACAACTTCGCCTGGCGCCCTGCCATCAGACAACGGTGTTCAGAAAGTCGAGGAAGTGAGAAACACAAACGCATTACAAAGAGACCCAGGAGGAAGGCGAAACAACAGCCTCAACAAGCGTCAACGTTCACCTGCAGCAAAGCAACAGAGACTGTCACTTTAGGGTTGGACTCGTCAGCCACTCGCGAAGGTGCAGATAGGACACTAAGCCGGAAGCTACACCATCATCTCCAGAAGACGGACTAATGGCAAAGACGCATGTTTGTTACTTTTGATATTGAAGTTGAGGAAACTCATGTATGCTGCATGATGTCCTCTAGAAAGTAAACAAATGGCATCAACATTATCTAATGGAAGTTCATGAAAAGGAAGAGAAATCTGACCTGAAGCTCGTGTCGCCATGCAAGAAAACTTACAGAATCCACGCCTTACAAAAGGAATTGGACTTCAAACTAAAGTAGGTAGGCATAGATAGTCTTAAAAATGGAATACGGATTGGAGATAAAGTCGTCGGGAAAAAACTAGATTCACACATCAAAATAGCTCATTAGTGGAAACACACATACATACACACACACAAACACACAAACACACTTCGCCGTTTAAAGTGAAGTTTAAAACATTTTAAATTGAACGAAGGGAAAATATCTTGACCTACATAACAGCGGCTGAAGCAAACTCAGGCCAAAATTGTCTGAATATATAATGATATTACTATGATGTCTCTTTCGACAGGTGAGGATAGACACGTTGCCAAACAAGTTTGCTACATAGAGCCCAGGAAATTATTAATTGATCACTTGGAAACGTACCATTTGAACCGTTGGCTATATTTGTGAGCGAGAAGAAGGATATTACTTAGATTCATTATTAGGAACCGTAGCGGATAAAGGCTGGTCCAATCAGAATGTTGCCGTTCAAATTTTAATGTCATATATCCAGAATTCGAATTTCACGTGCTGTATCAAAACTACTTGTCTTTAAATTTCCATTTTCTAGGTCGATTTTTTTTATTGCATCTGTTGAAATAAATAGTAGTGGTTGAAAGTTATATTTTCTATGTCGAGGTTTTAGAATGTGTCGTTTGAATTGCACAGCGGTAGTTGAAATTTCAATGTCATACATAGAAAATTCCTAATTTGTTTATTGGTTCAACAAGTTTATGTTGAAAGTTCTATTTCATATGTTGAGCATTTAGATTTCATCTCTTGAATTACACAGCGCTGGTTGAAATTTCGTTGTCCAAATGTGTTTTTAGATTGTATTTTCTGAATTGCACGGCGACTCTTGAAATTTTAATGTCATATGTCAAGAGTTTCAATTTAACATGTTAAATTACATCGATTGTGCTGAAATTTCCATTTCATATGCTGAGTTTTCAGATTATATTTGTTGAAATACACAGCGGAGATTTGACATATTTTGTGCTTGAATTGCTATGTTATATGGTGAAATGTGTTGGTATTGAAAGTTACATTACACGATCTCCACTTTAACAATTCAAAATAATATCGAATATTAAGATACATCATTCGTGTGTTCAATTATGAGAAGCCATTAAATTTTATGCATTAACAGTTTGAACGTTGCCATTCACAGGTCAAGAATTAGTATGAAAATCGTCGCTATGGGTCGCTTTCGTGAACGGGCCGTGTTATTTTTAAACATCGAGTCTCCTCGTTGCTGTGAAATTCAACAGATTCAATTTAAATACTAGCAATATGAAATGGAACTTTCATCACAATCAGTTATATTCAACGTGTTAATTGGCGATTCTCGACATTTGATACTGAAATTTCAACTACCGCTGAGTACTTCTAAATATACACTGTAGAAAATCGACATAATAATTAGAACTTTAACCACCACTGTATAATTTAACATATAAAATCTAAAATCTCGATCTAGAAAATGGAACTTTATGGATATGCATTTTATTGAAATTTCAACTGCAAATTTCTCGGCGGACCAGCTTTTATCCGCTACCGTGCCTCATACCTTATCATGGTTTGAAGAACACAATTGGCCTGGACGAAAAGCTTTTCTTGGATGATTGAGACCCAGTAACAGCAGCATCTGAAGCAAACACTGAAGATGCCAGCAATGTGGACATGTGGCACGGGATTGTTCAGCGAAAAATATCTAACATCGTGGTAATCCTAAACTTATTTTGTTATGTAATACTTGGCGAATACTGTTTGTGAGGGACACTAGTGATATTTTATAAGTTTGGGATATTTAAGAACGTGAAAATACTTTATTCAACGTGCTGTGAATGTCAAATAACAAAATGGTCTGCTGGCGACAAAGCTGTCACCAGTGATAACTCTTCTCTAATTCTCATATGGACGTTGTGGGTCTGCTGTATAGGGCAAAACCTGGAGACAAATACACTCGGTCGGTTATGGATACTACTACGAAGTACACTGATGCTTTACCTCTGTAGTATATGGAGACGCGCACGCATGTATGTGTTGTGTGTATATGTGCATGTTTGATTTAGATTTTTAACGTAGCTTTAATAATTTTCAGTCATATTTCTACGATGTCTGCAATGCAACAGTTTATAGTGATGCCTAGCACAGGGTCATAATGCCGAAGACATGTAGCATCATGTCCCACCCAATCACATTAGCCTGATACCAGGCCGACCAGTCCTTACATCAACACCTTAAGTCTGCGCTTAGTGAGGCAGCTGTTAGTACCAATTTTCAAAAGTCTTGGTATGACACAGCCGAGGTTTAAACCCGCGACCCCTCACATCCAAGGCGGACGCTCTAACCACTAGGCCACTGGAACCGTCAAAGTATATTGAAGCAACAGTAGAGGCGAAAGCACTGATGGAGTTGTCAAATCGAGTTGGTTTTCCAATATATATTATGAGAAAGAGTGGAACACCAGCACTTTGCTGCAATAGCTGTATGCCCTCATGAGTATGAGTGGAGTTGTGAACGACATTTTATATTCCAAGAACGAATGGAAAGATAAAAGCTTAAACGTCACGTTGACGTCAGTGCTGTAGAAGTTTTGTGCTGACAACGAGATTGAAAGATATGAGATGTTACCAGATTTGTTGTTTGCACGCCTCGAAGAACCATATAAAGAAAATGGATTTGTGTCCCTTCTTGGTTACAGGTGTCCTGGATTTGTGTCCTTTCTTGGTTACGGTTGTCATGTTCTGGTGCCAGTCGAAATTGTACAATGACAGTGTGCAATGGTTTGTCAGGAAGTCATCTATTGATTATATTGAGAATATACTAATGACACTGGATATTCGGACTATTATTAAAGGCAATTTGGTGAACTAGCAGACGATAGTTAAGGCATACCCAAAAACAAATTAGGGCGTGGGGTGGGTTGGAGAAGATAAAGATACAAGTTCTTATCATGTTGCTTTAAAGTTCATCGTAGTTCAAGACACAGTGGCAAAAACTTAGAGCATTGTTAAAAAAGGAAACTACGTTACATATTATGTATATGTGCACGTTAGGGTCAGTACAGTGATCTAAAAACGTAGGGTATTGTGAGCTACTTTAGCGGATGAGAAAGATGCTTGAAAGTTAATTTTCACCTTTAAAGCTAGCAGTCAAACTGATGACGGAACCAGATGTCAGATTTGTTTTGTATTCATGCAATTCTTTAACTTCAGTGATGTTCTATATGTTCGGAATTCATGATGTTTTTATGTAATATATTCATTATATATACTACATTCATTAGATCAATACAGTTTGAAATAGCCACTGAGAAGTTTATGGTTTGTGTTGCTTAATTTAAATTAGTGACTCATAGCTTTATGCACATGCTCTGTTGCCCACGTGGTACACACTTTCTGATATTTCTTGATAAACCAAGTGAAATAAAAAACAATATTTTGATAATGAATCCAAATGGGAAGCTTTCATAAGAACAGGGGCGTAATTATTTTCTCTGGTGCATATCGAGTTATATTTAATTAGCCAGAACATTAGGCTAATTATCCTGGCCGTTTCATGATTGAGAAGGTCAACAAGCACATTCCTTTTCATCTTCCAACGGTTAGCATAGTTCAAACTGAGCCAGTTTTACTACCAAGGAAAAAGACACGTTACATTAATCGGTTAAATTGAAGTTATTTAGACCATTTAGAAGATCAAGTGAAAGCACTCAGTTGAAATAACATTGAATAGCAGCTATACCACACCACATACTGTTGCAAGTCAAAGTGTATTTTATGTTACGTTCGGGTTCAAAGGACACAAACATTAAACAAGGGTTTTGCTGACGTATGGAAATTAAAGTGTGTGATATGTTACATTCGAATTCAATTGACACACAAAAACTAGCAAGGGTCATAAAACTACACAAATATGCTTTTCAGTACTTCGCACAGCCACATAACTAACTGCTTCCTGACTCGGTTATTATTCTAGTAGGAGTTAGAGATAATGAACTTTAATTAACTGAACATGTGTGCCTTTATCATTTCACAGAACTGGTCTAGGATCAGTTAGAGCTTTGAAGATAAACAACAGATATTTGTCTGATGACAGTCCCTGGCATCAAATATCCAGTATGCTGAAGTAATGTTTTGGCCCACTGTCACTACTAATTGATAGGACCTGGTAGAAACTGATAGTCCATCAATACTAACCGACTGAACCTGGTAAACACTGACAGTCGGTCAATACTAACCAACACGATCTGGTAGACATTGAAAGTCCGTCAATATTAATAAACATGACTTGGCAGACACTGACAATCCGTCAATACTAACCGATAGGACCAGGTAGACACTGACAGTCTGTCAATACTAACCGATTTGGATCTAGTAGAGACTGACAGTCGGTTAATACTAACCGACAGGACCTGGTAGGCACTGATAGTGAAATGACGCTAATAACACGTCCTTTATGAAGAGAAAACGTTATGATTCGATGCAATTTTTAATAATATTTTTCTGGCTTGGAGCATGAATAAAATGAAAAGCAACATAAATGTATGTTAGTATTTAAATGCATAAAGCATAAAGTGAATAATTTTAGTTTCAGGAAAGGAGTATAGAACATCATAAGTGGCCATTCAGAATTCTCGTCAACTGCCTGGCTTAGCACAGTGCTACGACTCTGTGGTCTAAAAACCAAGTAAGAGAAAAATGCAAAGCAAACAGGTTGTGTAAAACTTAACAAACAATTAAAAAAATTCTAAAACATAAAATAAAAATCTCAGAGGACCGTACAGTATTATAAATTAAATACAAAATAATCTTCAAAGTTCTAAAACAGTTTCAAATGAATTCCAGATTTTAAAGTGCCAACTTTCTAGATGTATCACAACTTTGTTATCCATAACTACTTTGAATGAATTCAAAATAATTCCCAAATATAATAATTTGTACGAAGTCAATGAGCACTTTCTAATTCCAATGAATAATTAAATGAAATGATTCCTCTCAAATTATATTTAAACACACCGCTAAATACATCCGCAAAATAATATCAAAACAATAGCAACACTAAGAAATAGGAATAATAATTGTTCAAATATCTATTTCTATACATCTTCACAATTCATCACTCTAACTTCTTTCCCAATACCTCACTTCTAATCAAATCCAATCCACTTGACCTGTATCGCAGCTCTCAATCATTCTGTTAGAAAATTACTACAAACTTGTCAACATGTTGGTTATGAAAGCAGATTTTATAACAATTAAACTCCTATATATAGTTCTATCTAAAAATAGAATCTACAGTCATGGAGAAAAAGTCAAATACACAAAAGAGAAAAACATAACGCACAGAACCAATCACAATGTTAATCGATACCGTTGGCATAATAAATTCACTGCTGAAAACTTGTGCCATGCAAAATGAAGTCTTTTTAAGGGTATCCTTCAAAATTTTAAAAGCTCAGACAGCTTCTTCCGTCAGTGGAAGTATATGCGGTACTCCTTACTGCGACAAAGATGTTAACGTACTGTTACTTCTGAAAATTCCTTAATGAGATTTCTTTGCATCCAACCACTCTTAGATATACTTTCATTCAATTTTTCGTCATCGGAAGCGTACACTCGGTAGCTGCTTTAATTTTGTTCTCGTGTGTCTTATGTATGCCTTTACTGATGATATGCCCGATGTATCTCATTCGCTCCGAGTTTGTGCTTTGACGGATCTTTTGTGAGGCTTCAGGCTTACCTTGAAGAAAAGTTCGCAGATCATCTACATATTCCACTAAAGTCTGGCTTGACACAATGATGCTGTCAAAGTATGGAAAAACACTACGTAAGTTGACCAGGCCGAAATAAATCTGTTTGGTCTCAATTCTTCATTTAGGGACACTTCCAAATAATTCTTAATCTATATGACTCGGGTATTTATCGTACCCAATCTTCTCAAATAGGTCATCAATGCGTGGGACTGCATACGCGTCGAGAAAAAGAGTTAGTATTAATATACACATAGCAGAAGAGGTGTTCGTGGAGAGTTGCATAGACTGGGGTCCAATTAAGGCTTTGCTCAAGAATATATCCCAATATTGTTTACACATCTTTATATTGCGCAAAAGGTATTCTAGAAGGACGTTGCTTGATTGGTGTTCCCGAAGTTTTCTTGACACTGATTTACAAGCTGTGTTCGACCAAGCTTGTTGTTATAACATCCAGATATTCATTGCAAAGATTAGATCTTTCATCAAATTAATTACTAGATTAACACCAACATTACCTTCGCTTGCTTCTCTATCAAATATATATCCACACCATCATTTTCGTCCATCAACACAGCACGCATGTATCCGCGCCATACATTTACGTCATAGGTTACCGCACCGAACCTAGACAGCACAGATACCTCGTGATTATCATAGACTATTTTTTAAACCACGCGATACCGTCACTGCCAGTATGTCTCTGTCTTGGATGAACTTTATGACAAGAGGATAATGGGCTAGATTCAGTTGTCATCTTAGAACGATCATACAAGGTATCTTTCACAAGAGTTCAGATGCCAGCCTACTTCTGAAGCATATTAACAATATACTCCAACGTGGACTTCCTTGATTCTTCTTTCATAAACTTGCCTCATAGAATTTGCATGGGTGCTTTAACCGGTCAACCATACAACATTTTAAAAGGTGGTAATCCAGTTTCCTCATGTGGGACGTCGCGAAATGCAAACAGGAAGTACGGATACATCTCATGCCATCATATATTGTCTGCTTAGAAATTCTGCGACAGTGTCATCAACGACCCTTTAAAAGAGCGTTGTACCTTTCCATTCACTTTTGGGCAAGAAGGCGTAGTGGATACAGAACAGATCATGCAGCTGTTTCAATACGGTGCTATTTAAGTTCTTCTCTTTGTTAATTAGCCCTTATAAAACCAATTCGGTATAGCTACTCCATAGGTGTTTTAGCAACATGTGTTGCATCCATATCCTTTCGTATTAAAAGTCTCATTGTGGTGTCATCAACCACTACAAAGTTGTGTCCTGACTTCGTTCTAGGCCTCACGATATTCATTGGAATCTTTGAGAACGGTTCTGTTATCATTGGTTGGCAAACCGTTGATGCTATTTCGCCTGCAGGTCATATTGCTGCCGTCTGACACTCATGACAGTATTATAGTGGGATAATATAGGGATAATGAGAGTTATCATTAACAATCAGCCTGGATTACTTTGGCGATAATATTTTTATGGACAAATGGATCACCCTGGGGTAGTATAGGGAGAATATGAATTTTGTATCGGAACAAGATGAATGGAACAGGTGGCATGACGTCTCAGTACTGGCACACCTGCAACAATATAGCAAGTTGCTGAC